TCTATAAATGTGTTGGAGTACTGATGTGCTGAACCCTTATCAGCAAAATGACCAACTAAGATTACAGAGGACTAATGATAGAACATGCTACCCACTTCCTAACAAAGAGGTGAAAGACTCAAAATGCAAAATGAGACAAATTTTGGAGGGATGTGGCCAATTTGGAAATTTGTTTTGTGAACTTTACATGTTTGTATTAGATGTTGTTTTTCTCTTGATCTTAGATTGTAATGGGTTGGGGGCAGCTGGGGAAGGAGGGTGAGAAGATAGATCTTGGCTGATTAAAATTTTAAAAAATTCTCCCCTGCAAGAAAAAAGTAGCTGGTGTGAAAACTTTTTTATGATCTGTCACTTCTTAAAATCCTGGTTATAATATTTTTATTGTACAGGATATTTTTATGTAAACAGATCTATTTGTCTTCATTCACTTAATTTATCCCATTTTTTGGATTAACGAGTATTTATTTCTCCTTTCCTCTAAAATTCTGTTTTCCTTACATCTCTCTTATATGCTTACTATGCACTATTTTGTATTCCAGTTACTTGAGTGTCATTTCCCTTATTAAACTGTAAACTGCATCAATCAGGAAATCAAGCATTTGTTAAGTGGCTACTATGAACATTGTAGAGAATACTCTATAGTAGGTCCTTAATAGCTGATTGGTGAATATTTATGTGTTTATTATCAGCATGGTATAGTAGAATACTAGACTTGGATAATAACTCACCTCTAATAATTATAATTGTGTGAGCAGTTACGTTTTCTTTCACAACCTAATATGGAAATGTTTTGCATGACTAAACGTGTTTAACCTATATTAAATTGCTTGCTTTCTAAATGGGGGGGGAGGAAGGGAGAAAATTTGGAACTCAGAGTTTTAAAAACAAATGTTAAAAATTGTTTTTACATGTTACTGGGAAAAAATAAAATACTCAATTTAAACAAAAGAATGGCTCAACCATTTCATAGCTACATCAACAATGCATTGGTGTGCCTGTTTTTCCTTAGCTCCTCCAACGATTGTTATTTACCTTTTCTGTCATCTTTGCCAAGCTGATGGGTGTGAGTTGGAACCTCAGAATGGCTTTGATTCGCATTTTTCCAGTTATTAGGGATTTCAAACTTTTTTTTATGTGGTAATTAGTTGCTTGGATATTTTCTTTTGAAAAATGGCTTCTGCATTTATAGATTTAGGCAGCCGGCCCATGTGTATATCTCTTACTTTAAAAATAAAATATGGTGGTAAATTCAGATGAATTCAATGAAAAAAATAATTATGTGACCAGGAAAAAGTCATCTAACCTCCCTGATCTACGGTTTCCACATCTTTAAAATAGCAATAATGCTTCAAGGACCTACCTCAGAGGGTTTTTATAACGATGAAACAAAATAATATATGTAAAGTACTTAGCAAACCTTAAAGTACCATATAAATATCAATTATATATAATTCATTCATTGAGCTGAAATTTACACAATTTTTACACATCCTCTCCAGCATTTATCATTTTCCTTTAATGTTAGCCAATCTAATAGGTGTGAGGTAGTATCTCAGAGTTGTTTTCATTTCCATTTCCCTAATCAGTAGTGATTTAGAATATTTTTATATGACTTGATAGTTTTGATATCTTCTGAAAACAGCCTATTCATGTCATTTTATCATTTATCAGTTGGCTCATATTTTTATAAATTTGGCTCAGTTCCCTATATATTTGAAAAAATGAAGCCTCTATCAGAGAAATTTGCTATAAAACTTTTTTTCCCCAATTTCCTGTTTTCCTTCAATTTTGGCTACATTATTTTTGTTTGTGCAAAACCTCTTTTTAATTCCATATAATCAAAATTATCCATTTTATTTCCCATCTCTATCACTTATTACCTTATACATAGATATCAATGACAAGTAACATTTTTCCATGCTCCCCTAATTTACTTGTGATAATCACCCTTAATGTTTAAACCATTTATCCATTTTGACCTTATGTTGGTATGTGGTGTTAGATGTTGGTCTATGCCTAGTTTTCTTCCAAACTTCTTTCCAATTTCCCCAGTATTTTTTGTCAGATGGTGAGTTCTTACCCCAAAAGCTTGAGCTCCGGGTTACTCTGGGCATTTTGAAAGGTAGTGGCTTCCCCTCTGGAATTTATGAATGAATGGATAAGTATTTATTAAATACTTAATATGTTCGAGCACTGTGCTAAGCTCTGAGGATACAGATAGAAAAGGAAGAGAGTCTGTACTCTCAAGAAGCTCACATTGGAATGGGGGGAATCAACACACATGAAAGGTCTCAGCTTCAAGGTAGATGGAAGGGTCCTGTGGTCCTTAGAGAGCAGCAGCAAAGCAAATGGTAACACCTCTTCTTTAATATTATTTCCACTGATAACACCATGTCCATTTATGATGTTTAAGTATTTCTCGGTGCCAAGGACTTTGGTGACAAGAACTTTCTCAGTTTTCAGTAGCTATGAATTAGCAGTTATTCTTGTAGCATCTATAGGAGCAGTTGTTAGGCTACATCCGTACAAGGACTGCTTTCCAGTATGATACCTGCAAGCACTGGGCTGGGAGTATTGCTATTCCAAAGATTCTTGGATTCAGGGTTCTGGGTTTTTTTCATAGCGTCTGAGGAGAGACAGTGGTCAAGGTGGTAGCAGTGGTTTGACTTGTCTTGCACATGCTGCCTCTTGCCTCTCAGGGTACCTTGCTGTGTCAGCTAGGCTGGGGAGTGGCAGTTAGTTAGCAGTTGATGGGGGTGACAGGCCCCTTCTCCAAAGGAATTGCTTCCCCAGATGACTGCTATGGAGACTAAGATGGTGGTCTGGAGTTTTTGCTACTCCCGAAGTTCTTGTGCTTATGGTCAGTGGCAGTTGGTCAGCAGTTATTACTAGTAGTTGTGAGGAAGGTGGACCATTTTCCTCAATGATTTCTGTCCCCATTGATGACTTCTGGAATTGAACTGGAAACAGGTCTGGTAGTTTTGAAGGCACTACTGTTTCCAAGGTTCTTGGGTTCAGGGTCCTGGGATATCCCCATTGAGGTCTGAGAGGAGGTGGTGGTTGTGGTTTGACTCACCTGGCACTTATTTCCTTCTCTTTTTGAGAATACTTTGTTGCTTTTAGCTAGGGCAGTGTATCTGTGCTGTAGATATTTCAGTCTGTCAATAAACATGTATAAAGCACTTGCTGTATGTCAGGCACTGTGATAAGCACTGGGGATACAAAATACAGTCCCAGCCCGCAAGCTTACAATCTAATGATTAAATCTCAATATTTAAGCATAGTTTGGATGACCATATGTAGAAATGTAAAGGATTCTTCTTCATTTGTGGAGTTAGCTAGGGAATCTCTTAAATCTCTTTTAACTCTGAGGTCGATTAAGTGATTCTGTAGGATGAGAGTACAGATATAGGTAGCTGGGTCAGGTATTTTTCCCTGTTAGCCGTTGAGTCTAAATTTTAAAGATTTGTTTTGGCTTAGTATTCCCAGTTTCTGGCCCAGTGTGTTGTTCATAATAAACTTTTAGTAGGTATGTGTTTAATTGAGGAAAAAGGAATGCTAGGAGATGGGAGTTGGTTACCTTTGAGCATTTGACACTGTTAATTAACTATTGTCTTCTATTGGATACTCTCTCCTTCCTTACGTTTTCATGATACTGCTTTATGGTTCTCTTTCTACCAGTCTGATCAATCCTTTTTTGCTCTTTGAAGAATCACACTCTATGCCCTCTCACCTTTTAAGCCCTTTCTACTTTCTCTTTATTTCATATATATCCTGTGTTTATTTACTTTTAAACATGTATCCCCTTAGTAAAATCTAAGCTCTTCAAGGAAAGGACTGCCTTACTAAATAAGTTCTTAATAAATGCTTGATGATTGGTCCTCTTTGCTTTACCATGGGATCATTGTTGTTAGTATAGAATTTAGGCCTAGCATCTGAATCCTTGTTTGGGTTCCAGGAGTAAAGTTACACCTTTCAAATGATCAGCTTTATCCTCAGATGGTAGGAGGTGAGACATGACCAGAAGATGTTCAGTTCATGAAGTTTGCAGTAGGCTCCAGGGTGGGTGTTTGCAGGAGCCTGATGGTGTTTTGTTGTTGGTTTTTTTTTTCCAAAGGCAAATTCTTCCTTGATCCCATCCATCTCCCCCATCTTCAATCTATCAGATGCCTAAGACCTTGATACAGTTCCTTATGTCCATGACTAACATCACAGTAAGATATGCCTTCTGTGAAAATCTTATGTTACACAATTAACTTCTCTACCTTATTAGGACTCCCTTACACTTAAGCCATCTCTGTTTCTTTTTAATACCACTTGCTACTAACTTGTAAGTTATTGATAGGCTTAATCTTTCTAAAAGATTGAATTTCAGGATGACCTTATTAACTAGTTAACCTAAGTATATAGGGGAGATGTATTTTTGAGCAGTTTTCTGGAGCTTTGGTCCAATCCAAAGGCACCCTTTCTAATACATTCCAGACTAATAAATCAGTGAGTAAAAAACAGAGATTTCTGTATTATTCACAGCTTCAAACCTGTTCTGCTGGTTCCCATAACCGTTTTTGGGGCCCCATAGCTCAATAAAAATAAGAATGTAATGGATTGTGGATTGGTACATTAAATATTCAAACCATTCTGTCTGTGACCTTGTTACATTTAAGCTTTGCTCCTCCCATATCTCCCCATCTTTTTCACCTAGCTTTTCCTTACTTTTCTTCCCCCATTTAAGGAATTCTTTCTGTTTTATTCACCATAATTTTAAAATCTCTCTTCTTAAACATATATGTATGATAATGGGCCTAGACCTGTTCTCAGTTAATGATTTTAAACTTGTATCTCAACCCTTTACAGGTAACAAGTTGGAGGTTACAGTAATGATGGGCTACTTATTGGGAGTTAATTACTATTTCGTAATTTAAGAAGTTAAAATTTTTTTCATTAAGTGATTAACTAGTTCACATCCTAAAGGAATTTTGTGTTATTTTGTATGGTTTCAGGTGTGGAACATCAAGCAAATGATTAAATTGACACAGGAACACATAGAGGCTCTATTGGACAAATTCGGAGGAGAACATAATCCACCATCAATCTATCTAGAGGTAAGGTATTGAATATCAGATATTTGGGGGAGTCATGAGAAGAAAATATAATTTATTTTTAAAATAAGCTAAAGAAACTTAAAATTCTACTCAGTAGAAAAACCCATTTTAATTTAATTTAATTTTTTAGGATAAATTTATTTATTTTTAGTTTTCAGCAATCACTTCCATAAGATTTTGAGTTCCAAATTTTCTCCCCATCTCTCCCCTCTCCCCACCCCAAGATGGTTTATAAATTGATATAGGTTCAACATATGCATTCATATTAAACCTAT